ATACCCCCCCACACACACACAAATAATAATTCCATTCTTTAAAATGAAGTCATTCCCATAATCAAGTGCATATTCCACCATGTGTCAATTGTCGGGTTTCTCACAAGTTTCTAACGATTTTTCATACAACTTGTTGGGACTGCGGTCTTTGTTTATGTCACACTGTGCCTTACTATCACTTTGACAGCTCCTTAAATCATACACAAACCCCGACTTCAGGTTCTCTTTTGGTGAAAGGACTATACACCCAGTCAATAAAAATCGAAGTAAAAAAGCAATCTCTCCCCAGAAGCAGTCCAGGTCCTTGAAAAATCTCTCAGGGCTATTTGGTCTTTGGCTTTAATTTACTTTGGCTTTGTTTCATTTTGTTGTTTAGAAGGACGAAGATGGTACCATTCATAAAATATTTTCGCACGTGTGGGACATGAGATAAGCTTGCAGTATTTGTCCAATGAATGAAGGCAGAAATTAAGATACAAATGCCTTTGACTATGCGACAGGGTGAAATCCCTGGCCCAACCCTGATGGTTCCCAGACCAACCCTTGACGGCGCATTGTGTTTTATTCCCTGCTGAGAATTTCCCAGAGGACAGAAATGGCCTCACAAGGACGATCATAAAAGTACACATTATGGCAACACACTGGCAGCCTCCTCGACTCCAGAAACAAAATGAAGCTATCCATGGAAGCAGTGCCCTCAAATCCCTTCAATATCCTTTCAAGATAAAAGCATATACCCCAAGCTTAGGTTTATTTACAACTTGTACATGTGAACCTCTCTGCTGACATGTGCATAGGAAAACACTTACACATAGAAAATCCCCAACAGATGAGATGAAAATGTGGAGTACAGTATTCCTGCTCTCGATGAATGAGTCAGTACACATCCTATATGCATACCCAACCTAAATATTCTTCCATCGCTCTTTCATTGCGGTTTGCGGTTCACTTACTTACATATTGCCACAGAACGCAGAGAATTGGCAAAACCTGAAAATATCAGCAATAGTACTCTAAACCCCACATAAAAATAACTGCCAACATTCTGTGCTGGAAAAAACTATGCTTAGGTGAGAAGTCACCCTTGTAAAGATTTATCAACGAGAGGCTGGTCACATCCAGGAGCAACAGAATCCCTCAACCAGGCATCAGCTTTCAGGCATACAGTACCCACAATGTGTTTTCTTTGTCAGAGAGCTGGAGGCCTGAGCAGGGGCAATGTAGAGGCTGAATGCTTCTAGAAACAGAGCACTCTATTCAAATTCACTACCTGCCCCATGTTAATTTCCATAAACCATCTATGAGTCTGGGTCTTAGATTCCTTAACTCTTAAAAGAAAATAAAATTATATAGTTAAAACTTCAAAGATGGTGGTGAAAGTGTTAAGTTGTAAAAAGTTATATAAATGTAAGAAATAAAATAGTTCCTACTTATCATCTCTTTAAAAAGTAAACTAAAAGATTATTACAAAAGAGCATATACTCTGTACAAATTAAAATGTTTTTCATGTTTCAGACTGTGCAACATGCAAGTTAATCACCTTGATTCCAAGTCCCAATTCTACAGGGAACACCCTGGATTAACCGACACCTGTTTCTTCCTGTGGACTCTGCAGCAACAGAAATGAACTATGGGGAAGAGGGGGTAATAGGGTGTGTGTGGAGGGAGAGATAGATAGATAGATAGATAGATAGATAGATAGATAGATAGATAGACAGACAGACAGACAGAGGTATATGTATCCATATTTATATATATGTACGTACACACACACACACACACACACACACACACACATCCCAGAGGTGGAAGTGAACTGAACAGCCCTGTTGAAGTTTAGGAGGAGGGGGTCTCCTGAGATCACAGTATTGTCTTCTGACTCTAGGGGGCCCCAGACAGTCCTCTGTGTTCCCAGGCACAGCAGAAGGACTGAGCAACTAGTTGCTTCAGCAGTGGTGAAGGGTGTAAGAACTAAACTCTGAAAGCTCTCAGGCCCTGCCACCCAGTCTAAAGTCCTTCGTGTCCAGAGCCACAGCTGTCCTTTCATGGGTGAAGTCATTGACGATGATTTACACAAATATGTTTCAAAGCTTCAAAATTTATTGCTGTACATTTCCTCATAGCATTCACTATGGAAATAGTGCAAATATTTATTTTGAACTCTATAGCATTTGAAAGATCACAAAGCTTTTCATATCTTTTGCAATCATTTATGAAGATCTATATTAAACTTGTATTATTTTTAAAATTTAAACATTATAACATTCAAAGAGATTATATAATGTTTTCTAGAGGAAAAAAAAACTTCTGGAAGCCATTGGGCACTCTCTGTCTTGATAAAACTTGTTTTCTACCTGCACGAGTCTTTTATTCACCCACAAACTCATTCAACAAATCCTTACTGACAAGCACATTCCAGGCATTGTCCAAGGCCCTGGGGGGCGTAAGATGGAAAGACACCAGCTCTTTTACTTTGATTACAGATCATACTAGAGACAGACATGCATAACACTTTTTACAATACAATAAAGTGCCTCCGCAGAGGTGTTTACAAAACACAGTGAGAACGCAGACAAGGACGAGAACATCTGCCTGGAGAAACTGGGGCAACAGCACAGACGGACGGACGAGGTCGCCATTGAGCTGACACTGATCCGCGAGCAGGAACTTGCCATGTAGACGGGTAGGCAGAGGGAGTAACAGACGCTGAAGCCCGGCAGAATTTCAAAGGAGAAGTGATGTGGCTTTTCTTGAAGGGAAAGGCAATGGGGACGGCCGCAGGACGAGGCTGACTACGTGCAATAGGCTAAGGGCTCGGGCTGTACCAGGAAACAGCCTTGCTCTCCTGGAGCTCACATTCTACTAAAGAGACACAGAATCAACAAATCGAACACAGGTTTCAGAATTCTCTACAGAGAAACAGGGTATTGAAAACAGAGCAAGGAAGACAGTCAGGGTTACCAACAAACGCCTCTTGAAAGTAACAGGGAGGACGGTGACAGCATTCTCCTGAGTGTACCCGCTAAGTGCCAGGCGCTGTATCAAGCGCCTGGCAAACAGCATCTGGCGGAATCCTCACAACTCTATGAGGTAGGTATTGTTATTCCTGTTTCACCGAGGAGGGAAGAACTCAAGGAGGCTGAGGGCCCTGACAGGCTCCCTAACTGCGAAGTTCATGCTCTGACACTTGAACCTGCATTGAAAGGCATGAGGAACTCTAAGCAGGGAAGGGACGTGATCACCTCTGCTTCTTTGGAAACTATCTCTGGAGAGAAATGCAGGGGAACAGAGAGAAGAAGGAACAGGGAACAGCTAGAAAGGGGAAAGCTATTCAGAAGTCCAAAGGGAGGGAAGAAGGTTCCTGTGAACTCAGTGGTTGTGGAGGGAAGGATGTGAGGGGTGTGGCTACCTCAGCACTTAAAAGTAACAGGACTAAGATGCTGCAAGCACAGGAATGAGCAACATTTAACATCATCCCTGTATTTCTGTCTTGTCCAGCTGGAGTTGATTTTGAGCCAAGTTGAAGAATCCAAGATGATGGCGGGTTGTGGTGATAAAATGAATGTAATTTCAGACAAGTCCTGTGGGTACACTGGAAACATCGCAGCCTCATGCGATGGGAACTAAGACACCGCTTTATAATGGCTTTTACACCTTGTGTCTACCTGAGCGAAGGACACAGGGAAGAACGACTGAAGCTTTGTGGGATGGTCACTGTCAGTTTGCTTCAAAAAGTCTCTTTACAGAAGTTTGCATGGTGAGTCAGATTCTGTTGTAAAAAGAATATATGACTGCCAAAACGTGATCTCAAGACATAGCTGTATGTAAAGAGCTGGGGTTTGGGGTAGGAGAAGAACAACTTTTGGAAAGCCATTCTAATAGTGATACTAGCTCTTTAAGAAATATCAATGTTAACTCCAACATGCTTAGCCTGAGTCACTCTGATGGCCGCTAGCCAGGATCCTCTGGCTACAATCCTCCCAGAGCTGGCAAGTCTGCCATTCATCTACCAGCAGGGATGTTTCCAGAAAATGGGGGTCTAAGGCTCAGACATATAAATTCAGTAACCAGAAGTTCCAATAAGTATTGTTACAGACTGGCAATAAAGTTCCAAAACCAGAGCAGCCCAAACCGCCAGCTGGAAAGCTTTGGCAATCCTGCTGCTCCATTCTCCCCTGGGAATGAAAGACTGCTGGGGGTTCTGGTAATAAAGGGTGCAGGTGACACAGAAGCACAGGTGGTCACACCTTGACTACATTACTTCAGGTCTAATTTTATTGATTTGTGGTGGTGGTGGTGGTTTGGTGCTGGGATCTGAACGTAGGGACTCATGCATGCTTAACATGAGTGCTTATTTAAAGTGAACATAAATACCGCATAGGTCTGATACACAAATACATGAACTATCCCTATAAAACAACATTACTGTGGCTCCATTTTTCACAATTTCCTTATAGCCACTCCCTCTTGTCTTTGGCTCAGATCAATTTAAGTATGTTTTAATTTAAAAACTCACTGAATAATTTGATGCCAGTTTTAATAAATAAATATCAAGCTATTTCAGTGGTAATGAAGTCAGGCTTCAAACAAAAGAAAGTAATACTTTGGTCAGATACTGATTAGTAAAGCTTCACACTCCGGCTCGTTACGCAAAGGATCTGAAGTGCTCTGCAGACTCAGTAAGCTATCGGGCAGCACCTAAAAGGGGGCCTTGTACCACTAGCTTGTGTCACAGGGAAGAACAAGCCTTACTTTTGTAGCACTATTCAAAGTACTGGTCACAGGCGAAAGAAGAAAACTGGATGGCAGGAGACACTGTGAAGCTTCTGGAGAGACAACCCCATAGAGAGAAGCCTGGAGGTGCACTGCAATACACCAGCTACTTCCTACCACCTCCATTTCCAGGCTAAGGCCCAGGGTCAAAGCTGAGCATTGGTCAGGAGTGCTATCCAGGGGCTATTAGAGTGTGTATTCTTTAACAGAAGAAGTTCCAATCCGTCTGTGAATATAATCATTTATTTGTCTTTACAGTGATGATGGAAGAATGTACAGGTATCTTCTTTCAATAAAGTATAAAAATCTGCTTATATACAGTGAAGTCATAATAATCTTTAATTGGGAAACTTATTTGGTACTCCTGATCTGTTTATATTAAAACTGTGGGGGAAACAAATTTCTCACGTAAGTGCTACATTTCCAGTAGATTGCACCTGGCATCAGAAGCTCCACTTCATTTTAAGGGTCCTGCGTGCTATTATAAAAGACTAATTTTAAGTCCTAGGACTCAAAATAAACATCATTTGGAATAATAGATATATACATCAAAAATACATCTAAAAAGGCATTGGTTAGTGCTATTAAAAAGCTCTATGTGCTCAGGTACACTGTCTTCTTACAGGCGGAACCCGGTGGAAATGTTTTCATTCCGTTTCTAGCAATTTGCTCTTGGGGAAGGTCAGTCGAAAGTTACCTGTGGAGACAGAAGAACAAAGATTTCTTAGGTGAAAGGTCAGTAAGGCTCACTGAGAATCCCATCTGTACAGTCCTGAGACCGAGCTCCAGGACTGGATGGGGATGACTGGAGACCGTAAGTCACCAGATCCTTTATACTCCAGTATGTCATCCTGGTGACTTTTTATACCTAGTTCACTGCCATACATATTACTGCTTATACAATATTTCTGGTCTACAATTAGCTAAACCAGCATAGAAAGGAAACTTACAGGGCACATAAATAAAACATCCTAGCAGATATCAGCCAAACACAAGCATATTTCTGAGAAAATTCTACCTAATAATGATTTCTTGTGCTTCCCAGTGGTTGACGTGACTTTACAGCATTTGTGGCCATGCCTGAGATGACTGTGCAGCTGCAAACTCACAGTCGCATGTTTCAGCCCACACTTGTCACTGTCTCCTTTCCACAATCGCTCCTAAAACGTTTGATAGCCTGGGGACCTATCTATAAGTGCACAATGTAAGTAATACAGAAGATCCTGGCATGTTCCTTAATTAAATAAATAACCTAAGTAATTTAATAATAACCTAAGGGAGATCACCAACATGAGAAGGCTAGCATGCCCAGGAAACCAAATCTTAGAAGACTTCATCTGTTACGAGCCATGTGAAGCTAGCCAGCCTTGCCTGTAAGCTAGCTATAAGCTAGAGCCCCACCTCTTTTACACATAAGAATGAACATCTAAACAGGTTGTGTAATCCAGGTTCTTAAGGACTTTGTATGCATATAGACTAAACAAGTAGGTTATGTGAATGTAATTTTAATGTTTAAGAAGTATTCTAAGTTTTCCACAAGCTACAAGTCTAATGGTCTGGTCTAACAATGTCTTCTTAAGGTCAGAATATAATATACATAAGTCTATGGTTATTGAACATATAAAATAATGGCCATTTTTAAGGCTTAATTAAAATTCAATTATTCTCAATACTTAGTTACTAATGAGAGATGTGCACTGTATGAGGCAATGAACGGGTGCCAGCTCCTGTCCACGGAGGGGCGCCTTAACACCTGCCTGATAACATGAGCTGTCTGAGTGCTGCCTGCAGAGCAATCTAGAAGACAATCACCAAGGAAGCAGCGGTCTAGTTATGTCTTAGCTACAGGGCTCCTGCCTGTCCGTGTTGATTTCAGGAGTAAATTCCAAAAGAGAGGAAAACAAAACAAACAAACAAAAGCCAAACTGACAGAAGAGATGTGCCACCCCAGATTACATCTTGCCATGATGGCATAAACTATATCCTGGGAACAGCACTCATGCAGACTCCCTCACTGGCTACAGGGACACTGGCTAGGGCCTCAGAGCACAGGAGCCTGCTCCAGATTTCTCTCTCTGAGAAATATAACACACACTGAATGAACACATCGGATTCCTACAGTGTGACCTTTCAGCCTGGAAAACAAAGTGCAAACTGTCTCCACGGTGCCTTCCTAGCCTGAATGAGTACATAAACAGTTTAAAATACAACTGAACCAGACTCCCCTAGTAAGGACATAAAACATTTAAAACTGGACTAAACTGGATCTAAAATAAATTTATGGTCAGGAAATGGGGTGACTGAATGTTTGCTGTCCCTGGACATGTAAACAGCAGATATTATATTGACTTCCTGGCTGCACTGTCATCACAGTATTGGACACTATTAAAATAAGGAGAGGCACTCAAGGAAAGGGAAGGGGATGCTAACAATTACACCCACCTTCTCTCAACTCCCTATCTGTGCTCCTCTAGCGAACAGGACTCCCAGGCAGCTGCTCCACTGGAAGCCTGATTCTCTCCACTGCTGTCTCAAACTCACTTCCAATCAGCCACCAATCAGGCTGATTCTACCACCAAATACATGTCTCAAATCTACCTTTCCCTACCTGCATCTCCTATCACCTTCAGAAAGCTACCCCTGTTCCTTATGAGACTACCATAGCAACATCTCAACTGGTCTCCCTGCCTCCAAGCTTTCTCTACTCCAAGCCAAATAAGCAAGTATGAGCATACCTTCTGCTAGAAGTCCTGACTGACTCACAGGTCTTTCTGATTAGATCTGCTGCCCACACGTCACCCTCCCCCACCCTCTACATTACAACCTCTTTTCTCTGAAGAAGCCAATCTTCTCTCTGTTAACCCGCTAATCAAGTCACTTTCCACCGTGTTCCACTAGACTCAATTCTACTTGTCTTTTAGGACCAAGGTAAAAAAAAAAAAAAAAAAAAAAGATCCTTCCTCAGAGTAACTTTGCTGAGCCTTGGCATCATGTTCTGCTCTGCTGTCTCTCCCTCTGATATTCGGGTTCAGAGGGAACAAGTCATTGGCATAAGGATGGCAGAAATTAAAAGAGATCTTGCCAAAACACAAGAGAGGAGCTGGAAAGCAAGATGAAAGCGACAGAGTGTGATCACTCAACAAAACAGAACACACACATAAACAGAGCTACATTTGCATCTTTAAGGAAAATTCATGTTATACTTGTCACCGTTCTGCCTGTTCTGTACCTAACGTGTAGTATGAAGGATCTACCTAACGGGTAAGATTTTGCTCATCTTATTGCTGTAATTCTAAGGAGAGCATGCCATCCCTCTGTAGGCAAGTGGGGCCAGACATTCCTCTGAACCCAAGAGTCCCTTCCTCTTTCCTCTGCTTTCTTACAGAACATCATCAGCATTTTCTCACCACTGATCAAAACCATATGAAGTAGACCAAAGATTCCTTGTAGGTAGCTACTGTGGCAAGAATGTCCTCACAGAATCAGGACAGAGAGGGGGACACATGAAGGACCCATGAAGGGAACAACTACATTAGAGTACTGAGCAAACTATGAAGGGAAACCGCCGCTAGTCTCTGCGCCTGTTTGCTGACCTGATCATATTCTTAAGCGTCATCTCCACTGTCCATATCGATGTCTACCTCCTCCGTGTCAGCAGCCCGGGACAGGATGTCCGCCATCAGTGCTTCTTCCAATTTCTTGCGTACTTGTTGGACTCGCTCTTCCTGTTTCCTTTTCAAAATCAGAAGGAAATGAAACTAAAAATTTGGAAAGTAATAAAAATGAAGCTACCCTGAGTACCCCCGAATCACTTAGAAAAGCACACTTGCTTAGACTCCCAAGTCTACCTCTATGCACACAAACCAAACACTGCAAGTTTCTCCAGAAAAAAAAAATTAAAGAACAGCTAGCTGTCCAAGGCCGGTGATCTCTAGGTGATCTCAAGAGAGTCTGGAAGGAACAGGTGAACTTCAGTGGCCTTTTCCTCAACGTCATGACTATCAAGTGTGTGAAGATTTGGAGTGATGAGTTAAAAATAAGTAGAAATAACTTGGAAGCAAAGATATGAGAGGACAATAACACAGAAAAGGAAGGGAGAACAACTTCTTAGGCGAGGCATCAACAGAGACGTGCTGGAGGCACAGCAGGCCAGGCTTGCTCTGGCCCTCTATGGCTGAGTCAGAAGACAGCAGTGCTGGGAAGCCAGGTCCACTGAAGGCTGTGACTGGGGACAGAGACGATCTCGTCTGAGATGAGCCTAGTAGGCCAAGACTATTATCATGACCTTCCCTAGCCTGGTGACAGCAAGGTGATCTCAAAGTGACAATACCTGCACATCATAAAGAAAGCCCTAAACCATTAGAAGAAAAACAAAACCCAGGATAAGAGGCTATTAGAATGCTCTGTAGGTTTAAGAAGTACAGGGGGTTGGGAATGATGCAATTTCCTGAGAAAGTAAGGAAACAGAAATCCAGAAGCAAGCAAGTAAGCTGGAGTGAAAAATAAGGAGGCAGAGGAAGCAGTGAGTGGGCTAGTTCCACGGAGAACAGGTTGTACCCTCCTGTGTGAGGAGACCAGGAATGGTTGGATGGATGCAGAATAGGAGAAGCTGCAGTAACAAGGAAAACAAGGGACTGCACTGGGGGTAGAGGAGAACCAAGTGGTTCCCTCCAATAAGGCAGACAGATGGCAGCAGTGTGCAAACCTGGGAGAGTTGACAGGGAGAAAAAACATGTTTTGAGGACTCCATCAAATCTCTGATATTAGCCAGCTGTGCAATCTCTTCGGTTCTAACACCCAGGACTGAATGACACTGCATCCAAGGTAAAAAGTAATAAACACCTTCTAGCTATGGAAATGCTTTACATTTCTTTATTACAACAACTAGCACAAAGGATGCCTAAGAACAGACCTCCAGTTCCTGAGTGAAGCTTTAGATCGGGCAGGCAGGAGGAAGGCAGTACGGGTCACATCAAATGAAACTGGAGTTCAGCAAATGCTCGTGTAATGGAGCAGGCTCCAGAAGAAAAAAAATGTTCATATCTTAACATAGTTTGTCTCCTCTCTGGCCCAGTAACTTGTAATTTATGCCAAATTACATATAAGTCACATTGGCAGTCTCATCCCTAAAGCCGGAACAGGAGAGTTGCCAGAATGACGCATCTAGGAAGACGGCTGGAGCACACTACATCTTGTACAGGAGGCTCTCTCCAGCTCTAATGTCGGTCGCTGAGTTTCTTTCACTTAAACCATGACAACAAACATGCTTGCTGTCGGGGTAGGCAGAATCCTACGACGTTCTCTAGGAATCTCCCACATCCCATATGTACTCCTTGGGCAATTTCTCCCCATACATGTGGGGGACATTTGTTGACATGGTGAGATATCACTCTATAGTTGGTTACTAATCACAGAATCACTAATTAATCATGAGAAAGCTGAATCTAGTGAGCCTACCCCAATACAAAGTGTCCTGAAAGAAAACTGTGAAGGTACAGAGAAGCCACACAGTGGAGAACTGAGGCCTTCAACAGTACAGAGCAGCCCTTTCCAGCAGTCAACAAGCAAACAGGAATCTCAGCCCCGGAGCACACTGTGAATTTCATATCAAGTGTCTGAACTTAACAAAAGACTCCATGCTCCAGAAGGGAAGATGGTCCAGACACCCCTGATCTCAGCCTAGTGAGGCTGAGCAAAGCACAGGCTGTCCAATCACAAAACTGTAAGCTTGTAAATGACTGAAGCTGTGATTCCCGAGAATGTTACTAAGTATCAGAAAACAATTATACCCATGACTGAAAATATAGTACAGTATGCTGAAGAGGTACACTCGATGCTGAGATGTTAACCAGGTGCTCACACAGAAAGCATACACTACACCTAGGATACACAGAGGATTGGCGGGCTCCCGTGCAAGAGTGAGCTCTTCAGCTAGCAGCTTTGCAGAAGCAAATGCCTGCCAGACGCACAAATGCCCGCCGGATGCAGGGAGGGGAAGAGCAGCAACTCTACTCGTGGTCACTTCTGAAGCTGTGCCAATTCAACAAGGAATGCTGCTTAATAATTCCTGTTATACCAGTTATCGCAAATGATTTGTTAGACAATTAACCCAAATCCCCGCCTGGCTTTAAGATTCCTCTACTATAAAAAGAGGAATATAAAAATTCCTCTACTATAAAAAGGTCTAGTCTTGAAGCCATTGGTATTCACAGTACCCCAGTGCAAACCTATAACAACTCGGTAAAAATCCTGATCGCTATCTCTGTGTTCATACCAAGAAGGAAAAAAAAACTTTGTTTCCCAGATAATTATCTTCCTCAAAGTCAAAATGATCCATAGAGCAACCTCATCTCTTGCTTTTTTATATTTTCTTTTTTAAAATTCTTCAAAAGCAAAGTTGATTGCAATTTCAGGAAACCAAAGAATATGAATATAAACTTAAATTTTTTTCTTTCTTTTCAAAAAAGATTATTTTAAAGTCGAAGGATCATTTTCCAATTATAGGCTCATACATTTAGGAACATTTCCGTATCAACCTTTATAGATTTAGATGGAAACAAATACAAACAGAAAACTATTTTAAATTGGATGATTCCAAACTGCCATCTGCTGGTTTCGTTTAGGAATGATAGTCCAGGAAAACTGACTGCAATTCAAATAGAAACAGTGAAGCACACATACATAATACAATACAATACAATACAATAGACTGAGGCATCACTATCATCCCTATAAAGTAATGGTACAAAAATCCCAAAGTCTCAGAAAGTAATTTCCTCATGATCTCACTATTTAGTATGTTACTTCTCTGAAATAAAAGTTGGCTTATACTTCAGGACGCTGCCAGCCCAAATAAGGTTTTCTTTTACTGTTGTTGCTTAACACCTGCTTTTGTGGCTCAGTCCTAAAAAGATTGAAAGATTTATAGAGGTAACTATATCCTCTCTTCATCCTGACTCTGTTTACCTCTTTGTTATGTCTTTATCATTTGCTTCCCATCTTGCTCTACTATATGAGTATTTATAAGCGTATATGCATGTGTATGTGTGGGTGCATGTGTGTATGCTTGTGGGGGGGAGGTGCGTGTGTATTTATGTGTGTGTGTGTGTGTGTGTGTGTGTGTGTGTGCATGGATGGGTGTGTGTCTCTGGAACAATTTGAATCTTCACATGTAACAATAAAGCAGTTATAAGCAAACCTCTAAACTGAGCTTGAATGAAATAAATATATTCATGATAACTAAATTGAACTTTAAAATGTCGTAAGGCAGCAAGGCTCCCACCTGCTTTAAAGAAAGGCCGGTTTGCAGACAAACCAATGCACAAAGAATCACAAAGGCATGGTGGAAAAAGTAAATGATGTGGTTTGGGAATAGAACACCTGTCTTGAATACTAGAGGCCTGGGTTTCAATATGAAGCACTATAAGAGGCAAATCAAAACTAAAAAGAACTGGCATAAAAGGCCTGATGGATGAAAGGGCCCATTAGAGCAGAGCTCCAGAGGCCAGGCTGTAAAGCTGGGGCTTTGAGAGGGTGACTCATCTGGTGATGACATACATCCTTGTGATGCTGACTCTCATTCAAAGCCTATTTTCAAGAATATTTTTCTTACAAAGATCTTTATCACATTCCATTCATTTCCGAGAAACTTTGTCTTAGTCAGGATTTCTATTGCTGTGATGAAATATCACGACCAAAAGAAACTTGGGGAGAAAAGAGTTTATTTATACACATCCATATCACTGTTCGTTACTGAAGGAAGTCAGGGCAGGATCCTGGAAGCAGGCGCTGATGAGGAGGCCATGGAGGGTGCTGCGTACCGGCTTGCTTCCCACGGCCTACTCAGCCTGCTTTCCTATAGACTAGGATCTCCAGCCCAGGGATGGCATGGCCCACAGTGAGTTGAGCCCTCTCACATCAGTAGCTGCCCTACAGGGTGCCTACAACGTGGTCTTACAAAGGCATTTTCTGAACTGAAACACCCTCCTTTCAAATGATTCTAGCTTGTGTTAAGTCAGCATAAAGCTAGCCAACACACTCTGTGAAACGCAAAGTATGATTTCTGATAGATTCATCCCTTATAGATTAGGATTCTTTTTTCAATCTAAAAGGCTTGGAACCAAAAGAAATTTCTTTTCCTCTACTTTATTTCTTTTCCTTTTTTTTTTTTTTTGGAGGATTTGCATACACAGAGAGATATTTTGGGTATGGGACCTAAGACTGAACACAAAATTCACTTATGCTTCACATAGACTTTATACACCTCAAAAGGCTGAGACGTTGAACTTAGTTTTAAGTTTCGAATATAGGATGATCAACTGTACCTACTGTGACACTGAGCGTAAGGCTTTGCTAAAATTTATCTGGCGGCAAAACTGAGGTGTTTAAAGTTAAGTTACAATGCCTTACCTAATGTCTTCATCTGTGACAATGAAAGCTTTGCAGAGGGGTTGGGATGTGTTAAGCCATACAGCAGGGTTCTTTTCCACGGCCGCAGAGACTTGTCCTGTGATTGGTGCAGAGCTTGTGTGCAAAGCACTGGCCACAGCAGACAGAAGGGTCTCATCATTACTACCCGGACCGACTCCTGCAATGCAAAAGCAACACTGCTGAAAGGAAAGCATTCCTGTGCCAGCGGGCCGGCCACTGCCGCATAGAACCAGTATTCTTATGCTCATGTACGGTCATACAGGTAAACCTGACACCCGACAACGCACTGAAGAACAATACTTACCCATTTAACAGCTACTATGCACCAAATGATCGACATTAAACGACAAAACAGTTAAGTACTTTAAACAAAATTTCAACTTTAAAACACATTTCCAAAGGCCCTAAACTTCTGAAAAGTTCTGTGCATTTTCTCAAGAAGGGCCAACTATTTAAATACCTTAAAATCCCTATAAAATCACTATGCTATACTCAAGCATCCCTATGTACATAGCCTAGATCAATTTCTTCCTCTAGCTTTAATATCAATTTCCAAAAGGATCTCTATTCTTATTGTTATCCTGAGACTTCAGGGAATGTCAATGCAAGCATGGCATACCCAAACTTAATCAGTTTTTTCAAATGACCAAAAAAAGTTCAGATTCCTAGAAATAACTGCATACCTTCATGCTTTTAGGAACCTCTCCACAGCAAAATTTAAGTAAATAATTTAAAGCAATAATTCCTACAAAATACAAGAATGAGATAATAGCACAACTATACATTTGGAAGTCCTTTGAGAAATCTACACTAAGTCAAGATTGAGGACTGAAATTCTAGTCCTTGAAAAATAATGCAACTCTTAAATGAGGCATAACCATACGAAATGACAAGTAGACTGGCCATTGAGGCCCCTACCCCAGAATCCACTAGGCAACATTAAGGACCAAAGTGTAAGTTCCTACTGCAACTTACAGCAGCAGTTTGTAGAGATGTAGGAGGTCTTGCAGTCGTTCTTTTAGTGTAAGAAGATAAGAGAAAGAAAGTACTGGGGTAAAATGCTGCTACGTGGGAAGCAGAAAACTTGGGGAACCCTTTGTTCATCTGTTAAGGCTAAAAGCAGCACATGGGTTAAGGGAGATGACATGGCCAACCTGGAGCCAAACATTTCACACAGAAGAAAAATAAATCCTAGGTGACATAATATACAGAAGCATCCCTACAACACGTTAGTCATCTATGCTTTCCCTCGGTTTCTAGCACAAGAGGAATGTCATCCAGCAAAGCACATTGTCCCCCAAAGCAAAGGCCTACTGGTTCAGGCCAATTGTAGATGCACAGTACCTAATTACAGTGCCTGGTACACAGTAGGCACCTAATAAATATCTATTCAACTAAACTTAAATGATACCTTGAAGGCCTTTGGGTAGCTCCATGGTTTTTATAATTTGTTCTGTTACATCTGATGCACTAAGTCCTTGCAGTCTCTTCTCCCAGAAAAGCTGTAAGGCAAAATTCCACCATTAGTAGACACGGAGACATTGGCGCTGCTGAACAGTACAGTGTAAGTCATTTCAGTGGTTCCTACAGTTTTCTGATATTTCCTTACAGCATGCTAAATGAAACTTCAAACAAGAACTCTTTCCTAACTCCTTCTGATTAAATTACTCAAAAAGAGTTGTTTTGATTATGCGAACTCAACTGTTATAATATTACAGGTTGTTGTACGTTATAAGCTATACATAATTCTCATAAGGTATCTTCAAAAGAATGTCATAATTTGAATTTTTGAAAATTAATTTATCATAAAATGTCAATGTTAAAATTTACCAGAAAAAGAAAACAAATAACAATAACCAACATCTTTATGAAAACATAATTTTTCTAAAGCACTTAAATGTAGTCTTTTAATACACTTAAGGGGAAAAATATTATACTTATTGTTGATAGAAATTTTTCACAAATATCTTAATACCAGTCATGAATCACTTTCTCCCTGTCGCACAGGTACCTGGGTCACCAAACCACTCAGTGGTCCCAGATGACTGTTCTGCCCTTAGTGAGCACTCCCTGCCCCAGGGAGTCTACATACTTTCCAGATTTTATTCTTAGGTCTCACTGAATGTGTCCATCCATGTAGCATAGTCTCTGAGTTCCTATGCTTGTCTTCAGATGCATAATCAGCAATGGTTCTTATCCTCTTTCTTTTAAAATCTATATCATATTTACTGCAGACAAGGAGAAACAAAGAATTCTATAGGACCCTCTTCCTTCCTTTAATCATAGATGACAGCACATATTGCATAGTTGCTACTGAGAAATAATTTCTGTAATGAGGAACAATGGAGGCAACAGAATTAAGGTTGTGAAAGACACATGAGCCCATGTGAAAATTCTAGATCCACCACCTGTGAGGTGGACAGCACTGGCCATGTTTTACTTCAAGAGCTTTCATTCCCTTTTACAGACGTGGAAGCGATGGCTATCACACAAGATTACTGTGGAGAGTCAGTGAAGTAATGTATACCATGCACCTATAATACAGCAGTCATAAAACTTACTACATTTACTTTGAACAAGATTTAGCTACTTTGTATTTATAATAACCTCAAAACTAGCAGCAAGAGTAGACTCCAACAGACAGTCCTAAAGACCTTTCATGTACACTTATATAGTCATGTGTCTTACATATTTCCGCAAGTAATAGTCATAGTAGAAAACTTAGACAATTAAGCAGTCAGTCAATACTTGGGAGATGTAAGTATATTAATCAAGAATTCAGTGAAAATATGATGATTATCATAAATGTCCCAAGAAATCCTTTCCCCATCCTATTTACACCTTGGTATGAAAATGTTTTGTTTTTAATACCAGTTATTCTTTTTAATAAATAAAATAAAATCTAGTTAAATTCTTAATTAATATATGCCGAATTTACAACTGGAAGATGATTGTCAATAAAGTGTTTGTCTTGTAATTATGAGGACCTGAGTTCAATCCCCAGAATCCAAGTGAAAATTCCAAACATAGTGGCATAGGAGTGTAATCCTAGCACTGGGAGGAAGAGAGGCAGATCCTGGGGATTGCTGCCACATCAGTCAGCTTAGGCCAACTGAAGAGACAGGCCATTAAGAGAATATGCCTCAAAGGAGGTGGATGGCACTCATGAGGATAAGAGATGAAGTTGCCTTCTGTGTGTGTGTGTGTGTGTCTCTCTCTCATAAACACATAAACACACACACACACACAAATATGTGTGTAGAACCCAAAGATACATATGTGTATATTATGTACACACTACTGTTTTGCCAGTTCATATTCACTGGTCAACTCACTACAGAAAACTGCCTATGTACTAGACATGTGCAAACTCTTTCCCTTGCAATGACTCTCTAAACCCTATAGTATAATAACGATCAACTCACATTCACATCATAGTAAGCTAGGTATAAGCTAAGGGATAGAGGAGGCTGTGCAAGGCTTATGTGCTGGTATTATACCATCTTACACTGTATAGTACTGCCACATACACCGAAGACTTGGGCATCCTGTGGATTCAGATATTAGAAGGTGGTCCTAGGACCAATCTCCTGTGGAAGAAATGACTCTATAACATAATTTGTAAAAATAAAACTACAGTACCAAAAAAAAAGTATGGGGACTATGGGTGGTTATGATTTCTAGTATTTTACACCTAAAATTCTAATTCCAGATATTAAAAGATAATTTTTGAACTTACCAATTTTAATTTTAAACTTCTTGTCAATCATAAAGAAAATTATACAAAAAGCTAGAAGAAAATAAAGTACTGAACTGGAACATGGGTACATGTGTCTAGTTTTTAATAGACTGTAACAGTGCTGCAGCAGCTCCCCAAACTCTATGATCTATTTTCACTATCCTCAGTCAATTTATAACTCACAATCCTTGGGGAGAGTAGGGAGGGGGAAAGTCGTCTTTTGCCTAAATCAGATGTTCTCAGCCTTCCTAACACTGCAACCCTGTAATAGAGCTTCTCATGTTGTGGTGACCTCCAACCATGAAATTATTTCTGTTGCTACTTCATAACTATAATTTTGCTACTTTTAGTAATCATAATGTAAATATCTGCTAAGCAAGACATCTGATATGTGACCCCAGTGAAAGGGTTGTTCAACCCCAGAAGGGGTCATGACCCACAGGTTGAAAACAGCTGGCCTAAATGTTTCTCAAGGTCTTCATAAACTTGAGCTGTTTACTAGGAATAGATTATGTTCCTCTGAAGTTTTCCTCAGTCAACCCATGTCCAAGACCGAAATATTCAAACTGGAAGTTTTTCCACATCTGCGAGGTGGCCTACTTTCTTTTCTATGCTGTGATAAAATACCCTGACAAAAAAAATTTGAAGAGAGAGATGGTTTATTCAGCCTATAATCCAGGTTACCATCCTTCATTTTAGGGGAAGTCAAGGCAGGCAAGGCAGAAACTTGGGCCATTACTCATTCAACGAAGAACAGAGAGTGTATGTATGCCGACCTCTAGGGTTCAGCTTACTTGCTTGGTTTTTGGTTTGTTTTGGTTTTGCTTTTGCTTTTCAAGACAGGGTTTCTCATGTACAGCGCTGGCTTTCCTGGAACTCACTTGGTAGAATTCTGGCCTTGAATTCACTGAGATCTGCCTGCCTCTGCCTCCCAAGTGGTGGAATTAAAGGAGTGCACTACCATTGCACAGCTGCTTTCTCCACTCTTAATATAGTTCAGAACCTTCAAGCCAAAGAAATGGTACTGCCCACAGTGAGCTACACACACGTCAATTAACGTGATCAAGACGATTCTCCACAGACACGTATACAAAGATAATTTGGACAACCAGACCTAGATAAAACTCTTGGGAACTCTCTTCCCCAGGGATTCTAGATTGTTTCAAGTTCACAAAACTATCACAGGAGTTCCATTTCACCATAACTGCCTAGACTCTCTCAGTACATTGTGTAAACACTAACATTGTAACTAATTCTAACATGAAAATCTGATATTACCTGCTTAATTCAATGATTTTTCTCAACTTAATCTTGTTGCCTGCTCTGATACCTAATGCTCAATAAATATAATACTTAAGAGAAACATTGATTTAATAATTGGATCAAGTCCCAAAATCAATACACTATCACCTTGGGTTATTAAGTACCTTTCTAATCCTTACCAACAAAATCCCTATGTGCCTCTAAATTCTTCTTGTCACACTCCAGAATACTAGAAAAATCAGATAGCTCCCAAGTGAACATCACTTTTTATTGCCCAGGGTCTCAGCAATGGCCTGTCAAGTAAACTACCTGACTGTGGGAAAGTACCAGGTGGGATTAAACATTACTCGTACATAAGCACTAAGCACCTAAAACGCTGGCAATGGACAACGCTGGAAGAGCATCCTGGTCAGTGCGAGGCTGGCGCCTCACTGCTCCTTCTCGAGGGTCTTGGTTTAGTACGTGCATTAGGGCATTATCGGGCACAACTGCCTACACTTTATCTACCCTGGCCTCCCAAAGAGGCAAATTGGATGGTGTGTCACCAAAGCCATTTCTTTTATGAGACAAGCCACCAAATATGTCAACTGTAAGTAAAACTAATCCCAAATATAGCATCTTTGTTTTTTAACTGCTGAGGTTTAATTTGGACTTTGGGAATATATTAATTTGTCTTTTGAAAAGCATCATTATACCTGTCATCACCCTGAGAACATTAACTCACTCTGTGAACAGATCTACTCTGAGAAAGTCAGGTGCATGGTAAGGCACTGAGTCCTGAGTGATGAGTGTTGCTGAATGAACAGGGCCAACATACTAACCTCAATATTAGAGAACTGGGCAAGAAGACGTAGCTCTAGAAAATGTACAGGAATATTCTATAGGTACACAGAAATGGAAAATAATGCCTACCCAAAGAAGTAGCTTAAGCAGTAACCAGCATTCCTTAGTTTTACAGAGTAGCCAAAGCGGGTTATCTGAACTGTATATACTGAAGCCTGACTCTCAGAAACTCTACAGGACTGTGTTTCAGCAATCAATTGTTGTTCTGTTTTGTTTCTAAGACCGTTAGGTGATTCTGACGTGGGCATAGGAAGCCTAGTTTAAGGTGTGGTGAGAGAACAGTATTATCCACAGAGCGGTGGTGTACTGCCAACACCACAATTGCACATTTCAGCTCCAACTATGCTTGAAGATACAAAGTATGAATTGTCCTCTCTGCCTGAGTCTAGATGACAATAGCGGTCTCCTCCCATTTTATTTCACTGTAGAAAGATATGTTAAAGTAGTCAAAATTTTACTGATTGTATAAAGAAAGGGCTCACCCAAAGTTCAGCTGTGCAGCACATCTATACTCAGCCACAGGACCTCAGTGGCATAGGGGGAGGAGCTACAGCTGACAACCACCACTTAGTGACCCACAAGCCCAGCCCTATGGTAAATGCTTTATTACAGGAATTTAGTCACTCTTTGCTGTATCATTTTGGAAAACATAAATTC